AAAAAAAAAAAAAAAAACTGGGTTCAGCGGGAGAGGTGGGAGAAAGCTTCAAGAGACTCAGCCTTCCGGTAGGAAACTTATTCTTCTGAAAGGGATCTCGGTGAGTTCTTTAGGGTGTGAAGGTGAAGCCTCACATTATAGCTGCTGCCTTTGATTGCCCTTCCCCTCCTACCTACACCAGATCCATTTTTATGATAACACAGTAGAGCTCCCCAAACAAAAGAGCCGTGTCCCGACCCACACTGTCTCTGTCACCACTGTGTCCTAGGAGCAACGCTCAGTTATGTTGCAGTACGGTCTGAAAAATGGCATGCTCTCACATACTGACACCAGTTGATATCTGCGCTTCAAGATGTTAAGATTAGTAAAACATTCACTTTTTCTGTTTGCTTTTCCCCTAGGCCTTTGAAAATCACAACTCTACAACACCTCTTCAAGAAAAAAGCCTTGGGCTAGATATAAACAGTATGTATGCTTTAAGATAAAACTGAAATATGGGCCGGGTATGGTGGCACACACCCGTGATCCCCGCATTCTAGAGGCTGAGGCAGGAGAATTGCTGCGAGTTCAAGGCCAGCCAGAGCTAACATAGCAAGATCCTGTCTCAAACTGTGGAAACTAAATTGTGGAAATGCATCATTCCCTCTCTTAATTTCTATTATTGAGTAAAACACTTATGTACAAAGGTTCTGATTCAAAACTATTTCCTGTTTTCAGAAAAACTGAAAATTAAATGCCTGTTGGAGGACGCCAAGCTAGCATAGGTCTCCTTTAGAATTTTCTAGAATAGCATCCAGTAGCAGTGACAATAGAAGGACTAGCTGGCAGTTGTTGAGCTTTTCTTGGGCCAATCCTACCCTAAGATGTTTACATGTATTATTCCCTCAGTCTGCACAGCGGTCCCATAAATGAGTGCTACCCATTAGGAACCTGGGCTTCCGGAGGCTCGGAAACTCCAGATACAGTCACACAGCCAGGAAGCAGCACAGGCACAAGTAGAACCAAGTTGTGCCTGAGTGTGGAGCCTAGGTTCGCAGTGCGCTGCCCCCGCTGGTCCTAGGAGAGTCACAGTTGTGACTGTTGCAACTCACAGATGGTCTGTGTCTCCCCCAGAAGACCCAAGAGAATAGTGTGTACAACTACAAATGTGGAGCGGGTAGTTCAGAAAAGTCATGGGGCACCGTAAAAATTTATAAAAAATAAAACCTTCATATTTTCTAGCAGCAATTAAGCAATGAAAGGAAATGATACAGCTGTTGTGTACTCAGTACTTTTATAACTACAATGGCATAGGAACCACTGTTAATTTCATGCCAAATAAAGAAAGCAGGATACAGAATTGTGTGTTTTATAATTCTAGTGTTAAAAAATATGTACATATGCATCTTTATTTTTACTTACCGTAAAAAGCTAGACAGAAATGCATTAAAATGTTAACTTTTCTTCTCTGGTACAGTTCGGGGTTTTTATTGTCTTTTATAAGCCTGTAATTCTACCTGTTAAATATAATAAATTATTAACAATCAAGGGGAGGAATCCAAACATTGTAAGTTAAACAAATAATATGAAAGATTAAGAATGACAAAGGATTCTTTGAGGATGAATTATATTCCTGACGGCTTTTTCATTCACAATCTTCCACCTGTAGTGGATTCAAGGATCATTCATGAAAACACCATAGAAAAAGAGAGGGTACGAAGAGTAACTCAGGAAACATTTGGTATTTGCCCTCAGCCTCAACTAGAGTTTGCACAGTACAAGGTAGGTGCTGTGGGAACAACAGCCTTAAGTGGAGAATGAGTCTAAGAAGCTGTTCCTTTTTCATTTATCACTTCAGTTTTGTACAATGAATTTATAAATTAAATAGGCCTCTTTATTAATACATTACCCTGCTAGCAAAGGATACCTTTGGAAATTCTGCACTTGCCTCTTTATGTCATCTTACATCTTAATTCTGTTATAAAGAACTGGCTGTTATCTGTATATATGTGGGAGGAGAATTGTAGTTTATACCTTCAGGCACATCCACACCTAGAACGTACTTGGACCAGGGTAGGTTCCTGTAAATGCTTACTGAATAACAGAGTGACTAAATGGGACACGTAATGTCGTGCATAGCCTCATTGGTGTTGCACCGAGAAAAACCAGTAGCGTAGATACCCTGCAGATGTAGCCTGTACCAGAGTGTGCTGCTGCCCACCGGGAAGACCAGATAGGGGCTCCAGGTGTTCATGCAAGCCCCTTCCCATTAGAAAAACCATTAGAGGGCTAGGGATTTAGCTCAGTGGTGCCGCCACCTGCCTTGCAAGCTCCAAGGTCCTAAGTTCGAGCCCCGGTACCAAAAGAAAAGGAAAAAAAAAAAGCCTTAGAAGAACATGATGGGCCGAGGATTTAGCTCAGCGGTTCGGTGGCCTGCTTTGCAAGTACAAGGACCCGAGTTCAATCCTCGCTACCAAAAAAAAACATGAAGTTTATCATGTGCTCCCCAGGTTGGGGATTTAGCTCAGTGGTTCTGCTGCCTGCCTTACAAGTGCAGAGTCCCAAGTTTGGTCCCCAGTACCAAAGAAAAAAATCTCCTTACTATCATGCTCTCCCTCATCTCTTGAGTCCATGTTCATATTTATAACACATTCCTACCCCCAAATCCTCCAAACAAATATCTATTTGGGCATCCTACAGCTGCTTCTGCAGGACACTTTAAATCTGTTATTGACCTCACTCAGGCCCAAAGCCTGTTGGGTTTGATTACTTTCTAGTGAAAGAAGTTGACTAACACTTTTTAACTTGGATTCTCTTAATAGCAGTTTTCACTGAGCTCCTTTCAACAGCCCATAATCTAGGACAGGAGACCTCAGTGCGTGGTCGGTCCTGGGACTGCCAAAATCATCACTTGGGATGCATAAGAAGTGGAGGTTCTTGGTCCTGTCCCACCTGTCCTGGGCCAGAGGAGGACAGTACCTGGCCCTCGTGTGATTCTGCTACCAGTCTGGGAAGTGAAGATTGGCTTGGCAGCCCTTCCCTTTGTATACCTCTTAAAAAGGTTCTGTTTTGAGTTAAGGTGCACATTTATTCATATGTGCTACTGATTTTTCCATACGTCTTCTGTTTTGAAAAATTCACACCTTTAGAAAATTGGCAAGACTATTACAGTGAACGTCTATTTCTTCTTTGCATAATTCACCAATTGTTAAATTTTTCCACAATTTGTTTTGCTCTCTTTATCCTAAAGCATTTGAATTAGTTACAGACATTACTCATCACCCAAATATTTCAGCACATTGTCTCTAAATTTTAAGAATTATTTTAAGTTTAAAAATAAAATTTGAAGGGGAAGGAAGGGGGAAGTAAAAAGAATTATGATGTGTTATGTACGTAGACCAACTCCCACGATGATTATAATCATTATGTACCACAAACATGCACTAATAAAAATAAAATTTGAAATTTTAAAAATTGAAACAATCTCAGGGGCCAAGTACCAACTGAAATGGCAGACCTCTGATATTCGATTGCATCAAGGAATTACAGTTAGTCCTTTTAGTATGGTAATGGCATTGGGGTTCAGTTTTAGAGAGAGTCCTTTCAGGTCTTGTTTAAATACACACTGAGATCTTTGCAGATGGAATGCCGGGTGTGTGGGATTTGCATCAGCACCGCCCAGTGAGGAGGACGGGAGAACAGGAGTTGGGGTCACAAGGGGCCAGGGCACCTGGCCTGAGGAATCCAGCCTGGCCACCAGCTGGTCACTGACTCAGCTGGGTGAAGTGTGCCTAGGATTCACACTGCTCCCTACTCCTCACTCCTAAATGTATTTTAAACCCTCCCTGGTAAGAAATTAAAAAGTACTGCAGCGATGACTCAGAAGACGTGGCATTTTCATATCGAATGACAGATCACAGAAGACAGCACTAACTTTCCTTCAGGAATGCACACTGTAAAGGGCACCCCAGGGCAGCACTGACACTCAGCATCCCCTGTGTGTCAGGCACTGTGCAGGCTGGCATCTGGGTACCTTTAATGTGATGGTTGCCCTCTCTTGGCAGTTTGCAAATTAAATGATCTCCATCTCTACTTATCCTTTATTTCCTCATGCAAAGATTTAGTCAAATCCAATTTCATTATCTTCCACTATTCCAACTGATAACATTTTCTAATCATTTATAAATGTATTTGTTGACAGCTTGAAACGAAGTTCAAAGGTGACTTATATGGGGGCATCTTGGCTGAGAGGGAAGAGCCCCTCCGGTGTCTGATAAAGTTCTCCAGCCCACATCTTTTGGAAGCACTGAAATCCTTAGCTCCAGCTGGTGAGTAGTCAGTTTATTTTACAAACTAGACAGGTTAACAGCAGTCTGCATTGGACCCTCTGTTGCTTATTAATTACCTCTGAGCTTTCCTGTCTGTCCAGTCCGCTACCCCGTGGCACCCTGCACTGAATGGGGGGCAGGCTTCTGGTCCACCCTCCCTCTAATCGTGGCCGTTTTTAAATGCCTGTTAAATCTTTGCCCTGTCATTATTTTAATTTTCTTTTGCTTTAAATTTCAGGTATTGCAGATGCTCCACTTTCTCCATTGCTCACTTGCATACCCAACAAGGCAATGAATTATTTTAAAATTAGAGATAAATAAGGCATATATGTGGTTTTATAAGCCCAGTGGCTCCTCGATTATATGACACATGCATTCCAGCTCATGCCTAACTAGAGGGCTTCTGTCTGTAAACTTGCTTTTCAGGCACTGATCCTTTGTATTAAATTCAGAAACATCCATATAGTTTTTGGAACAGTTTCCTCCCCGCCCACCTTTCTGATCAGTACAGCAGTTGTGGGTATTAAGACTCAACAGGATATACCTGCGGCACCACACTGAGCCCAAGTGCTGGGATGCTTTGAAGCCTCCGTCTGGAACGGTGGCTGAGCCTGGGGGTGTGGTATCTCGTGGCCTTTTGCCCACTCCTCCCTCTCCATGATCCTGGGAGGTCTCGTTCCATTTGCTGCTTTCTGAGGATTTTCTGTTAAGCTTTGGATCACAGAAATAAGCACCAGGAAACTATACACAACTCAGAGCTTCTAGGTATCGGGCATTTCAGAGGGTCGGGTCGAGTCCCCTGAGTTGGCACTGCAGGAGGTTGCATATCTGATGAATTCACTTACATAAAACAACTGTGTTTCACTGTAAATATGACACTTTTCATAGTCTAATTTATTGCACATATGACATGCAAACTGACATACTGATTTGTGAATAATAAAGATAACGTGTTAAAAACTGGGAAATCAGTTTTTCTTTTGATGAAAATCCTTCAGTGATTATCACTAAATAGCATGTTCTCTTATAACATTTTAAAATCTATTCCCTATCTTGTTCCAGAGATTTCAGGTTATAAAAACACATTGTCAAAAAAAAAAAAACAAGCAAAAAAGAAATTCCACATTGTTAGCCAGGCATGGTGGTGCAAGTCTAAAATCGCAGCACTCCCGAGGCCGAGACAGGAGAATCACCACAAGTCCAAGGCTAGCCTGGAGTATATTGTGAGTTCAAATCATCCTGGACTACACAACAAGACGCTGTCTCTAAGAAAAAAAAAGTTATGAAAGGGTAAAGAAAGCTGGGCAGATAAGAGTACAGAAGAGATCGGAATAAAGCTAGGGATAAGATTACTATGTAAGAGTCTACATCTCATTTGAGGGTGCCTCTCCGACTGCTGGCAGATCAGAAAGCTAGCATGGACTTTGCCAATGGCCAAAGCAGAGAAGAGAACAGCAGTCATGGATAAAGTTATTTTTAAAATGGTATACCAGTTAATTTTGATGAAAATCAAAAGGTGTCCTACTATACAGAACACACAACACAGAAAAGGAGTAAATAATGCTCTCTAAGGTAATACTGTCTATAGACAGTTGGGCACTAGGCTGCATAACTCAGATCTCACAGTCTCAGGAACAGGGAAGTATAGGGAAGGCTGCATGCCCCCTGGCTGCAGATAGAATGTGGCCCTCCTGAGGCAAGACATCACCTGCGGAGGACAGTTGTCCATCTACAGGCATTTAGGTGGAGAGAATCTAGCTCCTCCTTAATCCCTATCCGCCCATTCTCTGGAGTCACTGTTCCTGAAACACATGCTGTACCTCCCCCTGTGCTCCTTGCTGGTTAATAAAAGTGGGACAACTGGAGTTTTAGTCAAGTCTGTCTGCTAGAGGCAGGTCTCCTCCCAGTCCCCCCTTTTATACCTTGAAATAGTCTCCCTTATTCGTCATCATTCCCCCCAAAAGGGTAGCTGAGGGTCTGATCAGCCTGTGGTAGACTGTAGGGCATCTTATATGAAAGATGTTTTTGGACTTTATCTAGTTTAGAAATGTCACAGATAATACATCCGTCATCTCCCAGGGCAGCACTGAATCTGTTAGGGCTTAAGAATGATTGATTTACTTTTGAGCAGTCATGGTTTCTGGTGTCTTCCCTGTGTGCAAGTGCACAGTAGGCATCCTGCCCAGTGCCTGAAGGCCCACGCGAGATCTGCACAGGGGCCCTGCAGGTTCCTGGAATGATTTCCAGCGGCTTCACAGCATTCCCTGATGTTTGGCAGGAATGTGTATCTGGAAGCTGAATAAGAAAATACATATCCTGTTGTACATCCTGTATTGATACCATTTGGGCCGCATCCAGTGACCCTCCCATTAGAGGCTCTTGCTTAGAAAAATGGGAGAACCTAGACTCCCCAAACCCTTATCAATCATGCACTTCATGGTCACCTTCAGGGGCAGCTGAGGAACAGATGAAGCAGTAAACACATAGCCAAGGACCTCTGTAGTCAAGAGTCACATCTTCAGCAAGGCCTCCACAAATTGAAAGGTTGGCCAGTGATTACTGAGCCCTTACTATGTGGCAAGCACTGTGCTGCACTATTTCATATGCATTACCTTATTTTCATAACAGTATTATAAGACAGCATGATTCATCTTACTTTATTTGAGTAATGACCAGGCAGGCAGACTCAACAGCCTGCACTCTAGACAGAGGCTAAATAATGCCCCCTCCTCAAAGAGGTCTGCATGGTAATCCCTAGAATCTGAATGTGTTATCTTGGTGATTGGAGAAGTTGCCCTGCAAAACTGCAATGAGCACAGTGTGATCACAGGGTTTTCAACAGGGCAAGAGGAGCGGTCATAGGGAGATTTGAGTGTCTTGGTACAATGGTGACATGCATATAATCCTAGCTACTGGGGAGACTGAGGCAGGAGAATCACACATTTGATACCAGCCCAGGCAAGGTAAGACCCTGTCACAAAATAAAATAAAAATAAAAAGCTCACTGGTAGAACACTTGTCTAGCATGTGGGATGCCCTGAGTTCAATACTCAGTAGCACCAAAAAAAAAAAAAAAAAAAAAAAAAA